TCTTTGAAAGGACTTGTTAAGGTTGATTAGTTACTTATCCATGTTGGTCATGTTATTAATGGAGTTGGATCATCAGATAAACGACGAGATATGCTTCGAGAGATACAGATAGCTCATTAATTAGCAAGTGCTTTAGAGGAAGGACTAGCGAGAAGAGGTCGGGGCTTCAATCAACAACTAAATATGGCAAGGCCTGGTGACACTCATTGGGGTTCACATTATAGAACACATTTCTAAATATTAAAATTTTATTTTCATCTATTATTGAGATGCTTCACTATTTTCAAAATTATGAAAGAATTGGGGAAGCTAAAACTTTGTTTACACAATTGTAGACTTTTGAATTTCTTTTCATGTTTATTGAAATGGTTGAGGTTTTGAATTTCTACGTAAATACTCTCATAAAATTAGCTTTGTTAATTCTAGCTGCAATAGTAAGAGGGTGTTTGGTAGTGTGCTACTTTTAATAATTTAGCTTCTGCTTTGAATAGAAGTGATTTTATTCTGTTTGGCATTTCAGCTTCTGCTTTTCACCACTACTTTTTTGTGCATAGAACACCGTTTCAGAGAAACAGGTATGAGGTGCTTCTGCTTTCAGCTTTTGTAGAAATCATTTTATCCATAAATTAATCAGTCCCAAACACCCTCTAGGTGTTGAACGTGCTTTCTCATGAATGAAATTGTAAATAATGCATGTGTTGTGGAATAAAACAGTGGTTGAAGAGTCGCATAATAACCTATGCTGAGAGAGATATTGTTTCCCCATTAGTAATGATGTAATATATAGTAATAGATCATTTCCAAAATATAAAATCCAGATGAGTCCACATGAGTGGCTTGAAGGGTGTGCAAAGTGGCCAACCGTACAGGGCCCTTAAAATTTTAAGGCCCCATATTTTTAAATTCATTATTAATTTTGAAGCACAACTATTCTAAAATAGTAAAATAGGGTCTAAAATGTAAATTTCGGACCAGGCCAATTTCATTTTTTCATTTTTCGAGGTCGGGCCCGGTGAGTCCAGTTGTAATAAATACGGAGTATTATGTTAATGACTTTATCTCTTTTTATAGTACTGTAGTATATAAATAGAAAATGTTGTTTCTATTTTTGTGTTATTCCGTACAACATATGGATTAGCTTGAAAAGCAATTTACAAGTTCAAGAGTTTAGGACTCCGTGGTTATTAAATCCTGATCCGTCTCTGCTAAGGAAGATGAAAATATGAAACATCCATGCACTGACTAATCAATGTCATCTTATTTCTACTCTCAATTACCCACCAACTATAAAATCACAAGCAACACTTACCCGTAAGCACCTTAGAATATTTTATTTTTTAAAATTTAAAATAAATTAAACTATTAATTGTAACTCATTATGCTACAACTTTGATAGAAAATTTGAACGGTAAAGATTTGTACTAGAGTGTATCTCACACCGAAAGTTCAAGAGTAAAATAATCGATACATATGCTCTTGAATTGAATTAACTAATCGATTGGATTCAATCTTTTAATGTGGTCTAGCCCAAGTGTCTTATTACCCAATCCAGTTATTTCTATCTAATCTTAAATTCTACCATGGTATCAGAGCAGGTTTTGGCCCATCTCGTTTATCAAGGTGTTCGTCTAGACGTTCATTTTTAGCGGCCCGTTAGTGTTTAGCCCAGTTGTCCGTATGGAGTATGTACCCAACGGCCTGTGCCGCGTTTAACACAATTGCTCGTCTAGAAGTCCATACCCAGCGGCTCGTGGCCTTTAGGTGTTGGCACTCAAAAAAACAAGGGAATGCGAGTTCATTTGCAAGTGGTCAACCGGTTAGATCAAAATGGTATGGTCATCCACTTTAGGTCATTCACATCAGAAGTTCAAGAGTAAATAATGAGTATATAAGCTCTTGAGTTGAATTAACTAATCAATTGGATTCAATCTTTTAATGTGTTTAAACTCAAACGTCTTATTATCCACTCCAATTATCTTTACCCAATCTTAAATTCTATCCATTTGCCTTGTGGCATCCTACCCACATAGATGGGGTGAATTTGCTTTTTAGTTTGGAAGCCATGAAACTTACCCAATAAGGTGTCCCATCCTCTCTAAGATTAGGGCGAATCCATTAAACTCTTAATGGGGCACTTGTCCTAATGTAATTTTTATTTTATTTCAATAATACTGGGGCACTTGTGCCGTGTAATTTTTATTTTATTTCAATATTTTATTTTATTTTATTTTTATTTTATTTCAATATTTTAAGTTACCCAAAAATTTAATCCTGACCCCTATAGAAAAAAGAGTTTGCCACTAATAAAAAGAAATGTTCAAGTAGAAAAAGAAATTATTAAAAATTAAATAAAATAATTCAAAACAAAACTACTTAAAATTACTACTATATATTATAATTTAAAGTAAAAATTATAAGTGAAAGTAAAATTAAACTCTCTCCGGCCTTAAAATTTTTTCCTATTTTGACTTTTTTTTGTCAAATAGTGACACTCTTTGACCATAAATTAGACATAATCTAAATAAATAAATAAATGATATAAAAATTTGATATATCAAAACTATATCCTAAGATGAACCCAATTAATTATACTGAATTTATAATATAATTAAATATATTTTTCTTACAATTCGTGGTTAAAGAGTATCATTGTTTGACTAAAAAAATCAAAACAGGAAAACTTTAGGACCGCAGGCAATATACTTTTACTTTCACTTGTAATTTTGACTTTAAATTATAATCTAGTCATTTTAAGTAGTTTTGTTTGAAATTCGTATGGCCTCTATGTGAACATGGATTTTGATTTGAAATTCGGATTTGATCCAAATATCATGTTTGGCAACCCTAAGATCAGTGGTAATGGACATGACGCCCACCACCGTTATGCACATTTTGACGCAGTGGGGGCGTTAAACACCGCCCTCTCCTTCGTTATTGTCCTGTTAAAATTGCTACGTCAAAACTTTGACGCAGTTTGAAAGCTTTGGAGCCCCCCAACAACGTCTATTTACAAATAAAGAAAAATCTCCATCTTTCTCCCTCTTTCCTTTATAAATTGAATCAATTTTTTTTAAAAAAACATTAACACAAATATCATATTTCTTTTAAAAAAATATTATTCAAGTATTTTATTTATTTTATTATGAATGTAATTTTTAATGAATGTAATTTTTTATAATCAATGTAGTTTTTTTTATTGAATTTGGTATTATTAATGAACTATTCTTGTTTCAATTATTTTAAATAATTAAATTAATAAATTTTATTAATTTAATTTTAGAAGATGTGTATTTAAAATATAAAAAATGAAGATTTGAAGCTCTAGTTTGAAGCCTTGGGGCTTCAAACCCATTTCACTAAAATTGTAAGGTAAGTTAAAGCTGACATGACATAGAGAATGTTTGAAGCCCCAGTTTGAATTAGGGATGAGTTCGGTTTTGGCGGTTCGGTTTTCACCCAAAACAAAAGACAAAACGGAATGTGAATTGGCAGTTTGGTTCGGTTTGTTTTGTATAAAAATGTAAAGCATTGGTTATTCAGTTCGGTTTTACACGATTTTTTTCGGGTTTTTCAATTTATAAAAGTAAAAATTTACATAAAAATAAAAATATGTAGTTTTAGCTTTGGTTTTTGGTTATTAATTCGATGAAACAATAAAAATATGTAGTTTTAGCTTTGGTTTTTTGTTTGATTTTTACACAAAAAAACCAAACGGATGGTTATTGTTCTTTTTGGTTCAATTTTACATAAAAAAATATGTGTTGAGTGCCCAACAAACATTTAGAAGTTTTTAAATACTTCCAAAGACATCGTATCTAAAATCAATTACGAAGAATTTATGTTTTTTGGTATAATACTCTCATTTTCATTATAACATCAAAGTTTTTTTTAAATGTAAATTACTTGTATCAATTTTTAATGTTACTATAATTCTATATTAAGATTAGCTATTGGTGTTCATATTCTTAAGTTTTTTTAAAGTTTATAATATTATGGCTAGAATGTTTAATTAATAATATACTCCCTCCGTCCCATTTTAAATTGCCTATTTGCCTTTTTTCTCCGTCCCAAAATAAATTGTCTGTTAGTTGTTTTCGAAAACTTTTAAAAATAAAATACCTAAACTACCCTTAAAATAAGTCACTCTTTTTCACCTTATGTTCTCATTCATCATCACCCCTCTTAAAAAGTAATGTCAATTTCGAAAAATCAACTCTATTTTTTATTTTCCTTAAATATGCCCAAAAGTCAAAACGGGCGATTTAAATTGGGACGGAGGGAGTAGAAAATATTTGCATTTATATTTCTATGATTTTTCTACATATCACATATATTCATATAAATAAAGCAAAGTATCTAAGAAAGTTCGGGTTATTCAGTTCGGTTTTTTAAACTGAAAACCAAAACGGAACCAAACACTAATGATTCGGTTCAATTTTTTTACATTCGGTTTCGTTTTTTCTGTTTGGTTTTTTTCTAGCTCATTTTGATCGATTTTGGTTTGGTTTGCGGTTTTCGATTTTCCGTTTTTCCAACCCAGCCCTAGTTTGAATTTGGATTTCCAATGCTCTAAGAATTTGGATTTGAGTTTGATCCAAGTTCCATATATTCAAATCTAACCCATTACAATTACATGCTCACCCCGTCATTTCAAAATCCAATCATATATACCAAAAATAAAAGAGTAAAACTATTTGTACACCAAGGATTTGTACCTCATTTTGTGATGCACCAACATTTTGTGTTGGTGTAATACTAATTTTTATTAACGCACAAACACTTTGTGTCAGTGTAAATTTTTGTTAACACACCAACACTTTGTGTCAATATAAACCATCAAAATGTTGGTGCATACCTTTGGTGTATAAATGGGGTATAAATGTTGGTGCATGCTCCAAAATAAAAACGGTGCCGTTCCACAGCCACTCCAATTGAGTGGCTTCCCAAGCCACTTTTAATCTATACCCTCCATCTCCACTAATTTTAAATCAAAGGCTCACCTTTCTTCATCATTTAACTTTGTCGCTGTCTTCTCTTCTCTCTTCGACACCACCCAACGAGGATGAGGATGAGTGACCAACCCGCGGCGATGCGCTCCCTGGAGGCGACGGATGAATTGTGCACAGAGCCTCGAGGTAAAAATTTTTAGAGATCTGAGTAATCCGTTCACAAATCTGGAATGAATTCAACATATGTTCAGTCAATTTTTTGCTATAGCGGATTTTGAATTTTCGGTTCTTTATTGGATATGAAAGACAATGAATTGTGTGCCAATTGTTTACTCAATTTTTGAATTTTGAGTAAAAGTTTCGAGTTCTTACAGCTTTTACTCTAATTGTTTGCCTTTTTTTTTATACTCAAATTCTTTACAAGCATGAGTTATTTCAAATTTTACTCAACGTTTATACAATTTATACTCTTCAAATTTTACTCAATGTTTTTCGCCAATTTTTTAGTCAAAATGTTTGCCAATTGTTTACTCAGACCTTGCTTACCAAGAAGATAGTTCACACAGTTCACTCATTTTACTCAGACATTGTTTACTCATTTTATGTTTGCCTCATTTTATGTTTGTTGTTTACTCAAAATTTTTTGTGTTTCTTGTTTCCACTTTACTCAGACCTTGTTTGCCCCTTTATCAAATCAATAAACAAAACTTGAATTGATTTTTTTGTATTTGAGTTTTTACAATTTTAACTCACTGGATATGTCTCATTCTTTGATGTTAATTCTTAGGCATTTTTTTATTCGTTTTGGTCACATGTCGACGAAGTATGAGTACTGAGGTTACATCGGCAATGCGTTCAGCAACCTGTTTAGTTTATTGTTATTGTGGTTAGGGATGTAAACAAATCAAATATTTTAAATTCGATTCGCGATTTGTATTCGAATATGATGATTCGAATTCGCGTTATTCAAATACAAATTCAAATTCAAATATTATTTTTTATTCGAATATTAATCAAATACAAATACAAATAGGGATATATTCGATTCGGATGATATTCGAATATTCGAATATATGTATATATACACAGATCATGTTTTCAACATCAAAAGTCAAGCAAAGTAATATAGTATAAAGTGTATTTAAAATACTAAGAATTCAATAAATTAACGTAACACAAAAATCTAAAGCATATGATTTTTAATAGTTATATTTTATAAAATATAATTTGTGTAAGATGCAAATGTATTAATGTTTTTATATACGGAATATAGTATAGTATAAAGAGTATCGTAAGTTAAATTACAAATTGATGTTGGTCCCAAGGTTTTAAAAGGCGAAAACTAGCCTCGAGGCGGTAGAGGAAAGGGGGGGGGGGCAAAGAAAACAACTTTTAGGTAAACAAAATGCATAATCCATAATTATGTCAAATAAGTCATTAAGTAATACATAAGTTTTCATTTAAAGGAAAAAGGGGGGGGGGGCAAAATAAAAACGCAATAAGATAATCATGATTCATGATATCATTTTGAGACTATAATTTAAGTCTCCAAGTTCTTGTTTAGAGTCCCGTAGAGGCGTAGACTACTCAAAACTTAATCTATCATCATCCATTGTAGCAACATCATCCATATCTTCAAGGGATTCCTCAATTCCATCTCCATCATCAGCCTCTGCATCATCATCTCCATGCATGTCATTTGTAACATGTACCCCTACGAACATAAGTTTAATTATAAACAACTAATCAATTGACTTTATTGCAAGCTCATTCTTAATAAACATTAACTGACCTCTGAATTCATTATTCATTTCATCAACATCCAATGCAAGTTCATCATCTCCTCCGGTGTTGTCGTCAACAATCCACTCATCGTCAGAAGACAAAGCTTCACAAACCAAAGTATCCTCTCTCTTTTGCAATAGACTTTTTCGAAACTTTAATCTTTTGTTGAACATTATGAAAACCAAACTATTCAACTTCACCGTTGATAGGCGGTTCCTCCTCTTGGTGTGAACTTGATTGAAGGTGCTCCAATTACGTTCACATGGTGAAGAAGAACAAGTCAAACCAAGAATCTTAACAGCAAAAGCTCTAAGCTCTGGAACTTCATCTCCAAAGTGATCCACCATTCCACTACAATATATTTCATTTTATTAACATATATAAATAACACTTTAAAAGGTAAATATATTCTTAATCACAATTTACCTGGTGGACGAGTCTTATATGAGCTTTGAGCTGCTGTCATGCTAAAAAATCCTCGCTTGTATCGAAACTCATCCAGTTGACGGTTGGCCTTCAAATAATCAGCTCTGCTCCAAATGAGCCTTTCCATACACCTAAACAGTCCTTTCACCTCTAAATGGGTGGAGAATCCATCCTCCCATTTGAATCTCGGATTCAAGTAATATGCAGCAGCATGCAAATCATGATGTAATTGACGATCCCATTTTGCATCAATGATCTTCCAAATCTCACTGTAAGTAGAGTATTGATTGCCTAAATTTTCAGCAATTTTCTCTTTTGCTGAATCCATAGCCCCATAAATGAACCCCATCGCAGGTTCATCTCCATCAACCAATCTCAACACCTCCACTAAAGGCTTTGTACTTTTGACTGCATACGCAACACTCGGCCAAAAATTTCTATCATCCATGACAATTTTCTTCACCTCTTTGCCTTCGGCCAGCTTCGCAAACCTGCTCTCCGTCCACTCTTTTGAAACAAACATTCTTTGTAGGCCCTCTCTTGCGCTACCAATGCACTCTAAGGTCAAATACGCGGTTGCAAATCTTGTGATACCTGGGCGAACAAAAAATAAGAAAAAAATTATTTAACCACTCTAAAACACACTATGTATTATTGTGAAGTCATAACCAAGAGTTGTAATACCCATCGCTGATTGCGATACCTGGGCGAACAAGATCTTTCTTGATAACCTTCCTCATTAGTTGCAAAACCCATCCACGATTGTAAATGAAAGTGCACACTTTCTTTGCTTTCAACAGAGCATGTTTGTGTTGAGGTAGTTCTCCAATCTTCTCCAACATGAGATCAATACAGTGTGCAGCACAAGGAGTCCAATACAAGTGTGATCTTTTCTGCATTAGCAGTTCCCAGCAGCCTTGTACGCGCTCGCATTATCTGTCACAACTTGGACAACTATTTCTTCCCCAATTTCTTCAACAATACCATCTAGCAATTGGAACAAATAGTCTGCATCTTTAACTTTATCTGATGCATCAACCGATCTTAAAAATATTGTCCCAAATTGATTATTGACAAGGATATTTATAAGTCCTCTATTTCTGGTGTCACTCCAACCATCAGACATAATAGTCACTCCAGTATGTGTCCATGTCTTTTTCACTTCTTCCACAATATCATTGGTTGCATCGTACTCTGCTTTCAATATCCATGTACGGAGTTCATGCATAGAAGGGGGCTTAAAACCTGCTCCGTAATTGCTAACAGCACGCATCATGGCATAGTACGATGGACTATTTGCAACATTGAAGGATATGGCATTCTCAAAGATAAATCTTCCCACATCATGACATACTAAATTGCGTTGTTCACGCACAGAAGCCTTAGTCATTTTCAAAGGTAGGGCGTCACCTTCTTTGTTTGAACCATCTTCAGACGTCAATCCACAACGGCCAAGAAAACGATCCATCGGTCCACGAGGGTTTGGTCCAGTGCCTAAAACAACATCATTTGGAGCACCAAAGTATGCTCCTGAATCAACCATCTCATCAAAATACTTCTGCTTAATGTGTTTTTGTTCTGCATAACATTTTAGAAGTGCTAACATTTCCTTCTTCACTGGATCAGAAACCTTTGGACATGGCGCAGAATTTTTACGAGTTCCAGCAAGATGGTCTTTTAACCTGCTTATACCACCAGTGATAACTTTGTTGCAATGATGGCATTTGACATACACATAACCACTTTTTCCATTAGGAGGATTAACTCTTGTTCCATGCGGCCAAGCAGGATCCTTCGACTCCTTTTTAGAACTAGAACTTTGCCCTTGCTCAATGCGCGATTTAACCATGATGTTGGAATCTAAAGCAGTAATATACAAAAAATTAGGTAATTCACAACCAAAACACTAAAAAAGTTGATATAAAACCAAACTATATGTAAAAAATTAATTTTAAAGTAATTATAAATTATAATATAAACAATTTAATAATGAAAAATCTTAAAATTATTCAAGCTGCTGGAATTTTGGAAAATAAAATTACCAGAGTAAAAAAAAAGTTAAAACAAATATTCAAGAAATCATAAATTCGTACCTTAAGAGAGAAACGAGAATCTGAAGCCAAATTGCGCACAGAAACCCGCGACGAGAGAGAGAAGCCAGAGCGAAAGAGAGAGACGGTGAAAGAGAGAGAATCGGAAGCTGGACAGCCGTGCGATTGGAAATTTGGAACTTAAGAGTTTATTTATTTTTATTTAAGTAGTGGTTTCTGCCTAACTTTTTCAAAGGGGCCAACTATTTGAAGGCCCAATAACTTATACGGACTATATTTCAAGGCGTACGCCTTGTTTCCGCCTCAGCGCCTCGAACCGCCTCAATAAATCAAGGCGTACGCCTCGCGGAAATCATCTGGTGCGAACGCCTCTGGTGCAAAAAACTACCGCCTCAGCGCCTTACCGCCTCAGGGCGGATCGCCTTTTTCGCCTTTTAAAACCATGGTTGGTCCATCATATAAATTACATAGTATGATTATTCAAATATTCGTTTATGATTCGATAACTATTCGAATATTAATCAAATACTTATTCAAATCTTATTTTGAATTCGTCTCATATTCGGATTCGGATTCGTATTCGTATTCGAAAAAATTAAACAAGTACAAATTCAAATATATCGGTATTCGCTTTGATTCGGTTCGTTTACACCCATAATTGTGGTAAGCTATCCATGTTACGCACGGAGGTGCAAAACGAAGTCACTGATTGCCTTTAAGAAATCAAAGAAGTTCGTGAGACACAAACATTGACGGAAGAATGTTGGGAAAGGTATAGATTTTGATGATGATGTACTTAGATTGTAATAGGGACTTTAGGTCACCCCCAATATTCAATGTAATTTACTTTTTAGAAATATTGTTAAAACCGAGTTCTTGAGATTTCCAATAAAACGTGTGATATTTCACTTTGTGGTTTGATGTTACTCTTTGAAGACTTAATCAAATTCAGTGATATGGAAATTAGAAATCTTGCTCGGAAATGTCAGAGACAAGTTAGGAATTCTCAAAGAAGACCGATTACTTTGGAATTCTCAAGACCGGAATGCTCATTATACCCGGAAGTCTCACTACAACCCGCTGAAGGCTAAGTTATCCGGATCGGAAGACTAGCGCGGGTCTCTTTCCCACCCGGAAGTCTAAGAATGACTAATCCAGAATCTTCAGCCAAGAATCGGATGCCTCAAGGAAGACCGGAACTCTCAGAAGCAGACTAGTGAGAAAAGACTTAGAAAATTATCTAAGTCATGAATGAAGAAATTCTACCCGTTGGTAAGGAAAAATCAAATTTTTGATTTTCAACGGCTAGATTGAGGATAATTAAGTTGATTCAAGAACAAATGACTTGAAGACAAGGTCTGAACTTCACAAATTGAAGAGCTCGCCCAGAATTCCTAAACAAACACAAGAAGACAAAATCGGTACTCTATTCAATAAAGAGCTACAGTCCAGAATTCTTGAACAACTAAAAGACGGATTCTGTGAAAAAGGAATCCTTTCTCAAACAATTGGGTATGTCCAAACACCCATTCTAATGAAGAATCCTCAATCTCACTCTTCGTTCAAAATTGAAGCCAGCAAATGCAACGGATAGTGTATCCCTTCAACGGATAGATTATCCATCCAACTATATATAGCTTCCATGGAAGACTGGAGATATACGACGAACAACACAATCAATTTTCACAGTTAGCCAAAAAGCTTGATAAAGAGAGATTTCTAAACTCCTTCTCCAGAAGCAAACTCCTTCTTCCAAAGAGCTATGGTGTAAAGACTTGAAGGTTTCCTTGCCTCAAGTACCACACCACGTTGAAGGATACAACTTTTAATCAAATTTCTTGATTAAAACGTGGCACATCTACTTATCTTAAAGTTGATCTTGCAAGTCCTATTGTTCGGATCTTGCAGTTGTTGAAGAAGCGTGACCTTTGAAGGAACAACAAAGCCAGCACGAGTGCAGTAGCAACATTGGCCTTGCGAAGATATACCGTGCAGAAATTCACAAAAGTGTAATGGTTAGTTAATTATTCAACAACCAACTACATAGTGGATTTTGAGGACGTAGAAGGATTACCCCACCTTCGAACCTCGTTAAAGTTTGCGTGTCTCTCTCTTTTATCTTTACTTATACTTGCACTTATATTAACTGTGAAACTAACCCATCCATATTGATTACTGCTCTAATAACCCACCAACTTTCGCACACAATCTAAGTTCACAAGAACTTTAGACTAATACTCATTTTCATGTTTTCAAAAGAAACGAAAAAGATTGTTAAATTTGTAACAAAGTCTATTCACCCTCCTCTAGACTTTGTATCTCACCACTCTGGGACCACCAATTGGTATCGGAGCTAACTTCTCACTATCTACATTTAGATTAAAGAGAAGCGATCGTAATGGTGAAAAATATGGATCACGGTTTGCCCAAGTTTTCTCTTCTAGGTTATGATGATTGGAAGATCATGATGGAAGCACACCTCTACGCTCTACATGACTGTATGTGGATGGTGCTTGAAGAAGGACCCTTGAAGATTCAAATGGAGAATCCAGAGAGGGATCCTAACAATCCAGACGTAGTCAAATACATTCCAAAGCTCAAAAATAAATGGGATGATAGAGACTGCAAAAAGCACAACCTGGACAACGTCGCCAAGGCAGCCATCTTCAAGACACTTGATCCCATCACCTTTTCCAAGATCAAGCATCTCAAGACTGCCACGGAAATATGACAAGGTCTTGCGAAAAAGGAAGAACAAGTCACTCCTTTTCCCACGGCACTGATGACAAATTCAAGAGTCTCAGCAAGCGAAGGGATGTGCCCAAGGAGCTGTGACACTCCTTCCACTTTTACCCCTACTTTTTCATACCCTACCTATCACATCATACTTTTTCACTAATAACCAAACTATCCCATCTTACTTTTTCCCATCACGTCAGGGGCAAAATTGGAAAGTCAACCAAAATTACACTTTCCTTATTTTTTCCCAAAGTCAAAACTGGAAGGGTTTTGTGGAACGGAGGGAGTAGCATATATTTTTATTTCTCCAATGTAAGACCATTGATCATTATGCATTAGTCATTATTCAAGTAAAAATGTCCACCATCACTGCACATTAATCCTCTCATTAGACATTATTAAGTTCTACTCCCTCCGTCCGGGAATAAGCTTCTTACTTTGACTTTTCCTCATTTTTAGTGAGGGTTGAATACATCATCAAAATGTCCAAATTACCCTCCTTTTGCCCCCCACTGCCTCCGCCCCTCCACCGCCCCAGCCCCACCGCCCCACCACCCCACTGCTACCCCTGACCCACTACTGCCCCACCGCTGCACCAGCGTCATCGCCGGCCCATCGTTGCCTCAGCCTCACCACCACCGCACCGCCACCGCTGTCCTGCCCCCATAGCCACAGATCTAACACAAATCTACAAGAAGGAGAAGAAGAAGGAGAAGAAGAAGAAGAAGGTGGAGCGGGAAGAGAGCATATGGCCAGATCTCGTCGAAAAAGGAAAGCGAAGAAACCAGAAAAAAAGGGGGAAGAGAGAAGGGCGGGAGAGAGATGAAGATAAGGCCAGATTTGGCCGTGGGGAAGAAGGAAATCTTGAGAAAAGAAAAAAAAGGAGAGGGGGGAAGAGAGAGAGATACAGTACAAGAAAATGCAAAAACAATGACGGAAAATGGCGACGGAATGCTTTCCGTCGTTATTAGGGACGGATATAGCGACGGATATGGGTAGCCTACCAGACTTAACGACGGATTGTAAGTTCCGTCGTTAAGTATAGGCGGAAAGTAGTGCGCGCTGCTTTTAACGACGGACTTAACGTCATTAGTTTGGCGACGGAAAGAAACGGTCGCTGAGTCTACTTTATTTTTAACGATGTCGTTTTGGTAGCGACGGAATAATACCGTCGCTACATTCCGTCGCGGAAAACTAGATCTTAAATCGGTCTCCTTCCCTTTCACCAGACAGAAAGATCGAAGAGCAGAGGAGAAGTCGTCCAAGTCGCCGTCCCCCAAGTCGCCTTTCGCCGCTGCTCGTAGCCCTCTTCTCCGCTGGTTGCCGTCTCCTTCCCTTCCGTTCGCCGTCTCTCCATCTTCAAATCTCAGGTTTTTTTCCTTTTTTATTTTACATTTAAAGTTGTAAACAAATTAGACTATAGATTATCTTTTTACATTCGAATTAACAATTATTATTGTTTGATGATATAATTAAAAAGTATATTATTATGTGTAAACTTTTGACATTTTCTTTTAAATTTGAAATTATTGAAATTAGGGTTTTTTCCCCAAAAAATTTATCATTTTTTTTTTAAAAAAACTTAATTATATGCTTTAAACTTTTAGTGAATGAATATTATGCTTATTAATAACATATTTTAGATATTGTAGATGCTAGATGAGGATTATGTACGTATTATGTATTTTTTTGAATATTGTAGTTCTTGTGCTTTTATATTTATTTTTTTAGTGTTTTGTAATGAATTCTATAACTTAATAGTATGTCAATTTTATTTTTTTGAATTTCTCAGAATGAGTGACTTTCACGAAAATCGAGATTGGATGTATAAAAGACTTGATAGCTCAGGTTTTATAAATACAGATTGGGTTGACAAAGTTAGACAATTCATTGAGTTCTGTGAGTCAAATCCAAAAGTAGACAGATTCAACGGGCAGATGCGTTGTCCTTGTAAGATTTGTAAGAATAAATATTTTAAAGATATCGAGGACATTAAGCTTCATGTACTGAGACAAGGTTTCACTCCCAAATATCTTGATTGGGTTTGCCACGGGGAGGAACATGGTGATTATACGAGCCATCATCGGCGCCGTAAATCTGCTCGTACCTTTGTTGAAACCGAAAGGGCAGAATACATGAATATGGTGATTGATGCTGCGGGGCCTTCCTTTAATCCTAACGTTCCAGTTGAGGAGGAACCAAATGCTAGTGACAAATTTTTTTTTGACATGCTATAAGCCGCTGATACTGACTTATGGAAAGGTTGCACTAAAATGTCCCAACTCTCGATGGTTGCAAGATTACTCAATATTAAGGCAGAGCACAATTTGTCTGAGAGGTGTTACGACACTATTTGCCAACTGTTCAAAGACGGACTTCCAGAGGACAATTCAATGGTTTCAGATTTATATGAGACAAAAAAACTCATTGAAGGTTTAGGACTACCAGTGGAGAAAATTCATTGTTGTGTCCAAGGTTGCATGCTTTTTTGGGCCCCAGATGCTGAGCTAGCTACATGTAAAATTTGTGAAAAGCCTCGTTACAAAGACTCTATAAAAAAGATACCAAATAGATACATGTTCTATTTTCCCCTAACACCGAGGTTAAAGAGATTGTACATGTCAAAGAGAACAGCGGAGTCCATGCGTTGGCATGCGGAGCACAGTCACGATAGTGTTGGAGATATGTGCCATCCATGCGATTCTGAGGCCTGGAAGCAATTCAACCTTTCTAATCCAACATTTGCTTCTGAAGTTCGAAATGTAAGGTTGGGTCTCTGCACAGATGGTTTTCAACCTTTCGGCCAATCGGGTTCTCAATACTCCTGTTGGCCAGTAATGGTCACTCCTTACAATCTCTCGCCCAATATGTGCATGAAAGAGGAACACATATTCTTGTGTGCGATAGTTCCGGGTAAGTCTAATCCCAAACAAAAGATTGATGTTTACTTGCAACCATTAATTGCAGAATTGCAGATGTTGTGGTCCGAAGGCATTGAAACGTTTGATGTGTCGTTGAGTCAAAACTTTACGATGCGTGCTGCACTATTATGGACTATTGGAGACTTTCCGGCGTTGGGAATGATGTCTGGTTGGAGCACTGCTGAGAAAATAGCATGTCCGGTGTGTATGGACGAACTACAATCATTTCGACTTCCAAATGGTGGCAAACAATCTTGGTTTGATACACACCGTAGATTTTTACCAGATGACCATCCCTATAGGAGAGATAAGAAAAAATTCATGAAGAATAAGAATGAGACTCGTCCTCCTCCTACTTTAAAAACTGGTGCACAAATATTAGAGGAGATTGAGAGGCTCAGATTGAGAAGGATTGTGGAACCTAGGGCAGAAGAGACAAACAAAGATGTTTGTAAACACCATCTTTGTGGTTTGAGAAAGAAGAGCATATTTTGGGATCTTCCATACTGGAAGACAAATCTTGTACGACATAATCTTGATGTTATGCACATAGAAAAAAATGTATTCGAAAATATTTTTAATACTGTGATGGATGTCCAAGGTAAAACGAAAGACAATGCCAAAGCTAGGGAGGATATGAAGTTATTTTGCAACAGGAAAGAGTTGGAAAGAGATTGTGCATCGGGAAAATATCCTCAAGCAGCATACACTCTTGACAAAGCTTCACGAAAGGCTTTTTTAGATTGGGTAAAGGGGTTGCGATTTCTTGATGGATATGTCTTAAATTTGGGACGATGTGTCGATCCAACAAAACTAAGAATGTTTGGGATGAAAAGTCATGATTGCCATGTTTTCATGCAACGCCTAATTCCCATAGGATTCCGAAATTTATTGCCCAAGGGTGTATGAGAGGTTTTAACTGAGCTCAGCAACTTCTTTCGTTCTCTTACTGCTAAAAGTATTTCAGTCGATGACATGCAAACGCTAGAGAAAAACATAGTTGTCATACTATGTAAGCTAGAGAGACAATATTTCCCCCTGCATTTTTTTACAGCATGGAACACTTGCCGGTTCACCTACCTTGGGAGGCTAGAGTTGCTGGTCCAGTTCAGTTTCGATGGATGTATCCTTTTGAGAGGTACGAACTGAACAAAATATTATGTGTCAAATAATATATGTTAAATGCATAATTAATCCACGTATTCGCTTGTGTTATGCAGATACCTAAATTGTTTGAAGCGAATGGTAAAAAACAAAGCAAGGGTAGAAGGATCTATTGCTAATGCGTATATTGTGAGAGAAGCATCTCATTTTTGTTCGCATTACTTTGAAGATCATGTTTACACTCGACTACACAGTGTACCGCGTAATGATGAAGGAGATGTTCCTGCAGCCATCGAAAGCAACCTAAGCATTTTCCAAAGCGCAGGACGCTTAAGCGGTAAGACGAAAAAGCGAAGGCGTTCTGATGATGAGTTAAAGGCGCTGCATCATTACCTTATGCTAAATAGTGTCGAGATTGAACCATTCATTGAGTATGTCTCTAATTTTTTCTATTTCTAGTAAACCATTCCGCGAGTGTACACTTAAGGCATATGATGTTGTTCATTGCAGGAAATATGTCGATTCATTACGTGACTCAAATCCTGACATTACTGATGAGGCTTTACT